AGGGCAAGGAGTGTGGGAACTGAGAATCTGCCACAGCTATGATGTTGTTCTGTGTTTGCTCATTTCCTAACTTGCATTTTCTTTTCCTACAGAGAGATGGTTGCCCTAAGATCGTCAACCTGGGCAGTTCCAAGACAGATCTTTTCTATGAAAGGAAAAAGTATGGCTTCAAGAAGAGGTGATCCTATTCATACGTGGCTACCTCCTGTTGGGTTGGCAAGAGGGCCTTGGAACATCTCTGGACTTCACTCTTATTGAAAACTCGTTGATTATTTTTTTTCTAAAGCAATACAAATTCAGTAATATACTTAGGGTTGAAGAAATAACAGACTGAGTGAGGACTGAAACCTGATGAGAACCAGTAATGAGAGGGCAAATGAAGATTACTGTCTCTTCCCTTTGCAGAAGCTCTGCTAGTAGTTGCCCCAGCTCTATACAAAGCAGAGTGGGCAAGCGCTTACGCATAGAAGGAGCCATGTAAAAATGGAAAGTGCTGTTTTTAGTGTAGAGAAACACCTTGAGGTTGTTCTTACTGGGCCTCCTCTCAATTTTTTGAAATTGCCCCATCCATCAGTGTTGAAGAACAAAACACCAATCCGCTCCCCTCCTCCCTTCCTCCGGTATATTTCCATACTGCCCTGTTTTGTAAGGAATCTGCTCATGTCTGGTACCTTCCTAGGGACAGCACATCTGTTCCATGTTTTCTTTGACAGATAAATCCAAGGCCATTTCTTGTAACCATTCCTGTAGGATGCATACCAATAAAGCTTTTCCTTTCGGGTTTTTATTTTTGGTACAACAAGGATTTCTATTTGGTTCATTCTGTGCCTAGCCTCTCTGGAGCTTGCTGGGGACACAGAGGATTAGCCCAGCTAGCACTTCACAATGGGTTATCTGGTTTCTGCTTATGGCCACGTGACCTTGCCACAAGGAGTTTCAGGGAACGGCTGTTGCTTTTGTCTGCCTGTGATCCCAGCCACTGATCATTTTGTCCCGTAGCATGAGGATCGCTGAGCTTGTAACCCTTATCCCGGCTAATACGGCCGTGGATGTTGTTTCACCATGCAAACATCCAATCCCTTTCTAACCCTACTAAGCTATTTGACTGGCTATCCTGTTCTTGTGAATAAGTTAAAGCCTTCCCTGCTGTAATGGGAAACCAACCATTGTGTTCTGGGCTATTGGCCGTGTGCGTGCTGGAAACCAGAGGCTGCTTGTTAGTCAAATACCAGGAGAGGCTAAAAGCAGTCTGTTGGCTCAGCAAAGATCTGGGAACAGGGCCTTTGTGCCGAGGCGGAACCGAGTTCCCCACGGGTGTGTGCTCCTCAGATGGTTAAAGCAGGGCCCTGGCTCAGCGTGCCCTGCAGTCCTTCAAGCACTTGCAGTCTGAGCAGAGCATGTGCTACACTAACATAGTTGTCTTTGTTCAGTTTTTGGGTGCAGAGCCCCCAGACCTTTTTTTGTTTTGTGCCCCTTCCAGGAATTCAGCTATTCCCTTGAGGCTAGTACCAATTCCTCTAACTACTCCTTGGCTTAAATACCTCTTCTACCTGCTCCAACCATTTGGATAAAAGTGGAAAGCACACAAGTTGTGATTATCCTCTCCTCAAAAGTAATTTTTCCCTGCTTCAGCTGGTTGTAGCTGTCACTGGCCCTACAGCTATCTCAGCTGCTCCTCCCTCTCCTGCCCCCAGCTATTCTGTCAGTTTTCTCTTCCAAGCTTTTTGTAGTTCTTAGAGTATCAGTATGTCTTTTTCCCTACACAGTTTCTGCTGGATGCTATTTGCCATGATGTTCAGAGCAATCTAGCTCATTGGTTACAGCAAACCTGTTCTCCCAAAGCAGTTCTATTGGAATAAGCAACGTCCTCTGCAGACCAGGAAGCCCATGTCAGACCTGCTATTGGCCATTTTAAATTCTGTGTTTCTTTAAAAGCTGGCCATGACATGCAGATTTGTTGTACCTGGAACTTTATCACTTCAACCAGAATTTATCACTTACCCTCAGTCAGGCCACCCATATTATCTCACTAGGAATGCAGAAGGTTTGTACGCACTTATTTTCTTTCCCAGAAATTTGGAAGATGACAAAGTTTTTCAGTAAAGGTAGAGGGAAATGAAGTAAGGAATTATTTTTTGTCTCAGAACCAATACACCCTGGTGAGCTAATTTTAGAGCACTCCTGTTCCTAATCATTTAGCAGGATCAGCTAGGCAGGGCTTGCTGTAGAGGTACAAGCGTTCCCATCCCTTCCCCCATCGCCCAAAACAGCTGAACATACTCACTTTCTTGGCACTCCCGATGCCCTCACGCTGACTGCTGGATATATTGGTCTGGATTCTGAGAGTTAAGCTGCCATTTCTAGTTGTTCTGAGTCACTGGGCAGGTGGAGAGAGGGGGGGACAGGCTTTTTCCCCTTTGCCTTGTTTGCTCAGACAGCTCTGGGGAGCATGCCAAATGCTGCTGGTGCTCGGATCAGTTCAGTGCCACTGCCTTTCTGGTACTTTCAGAGCATGGATGGGGCATTGCCCTGAAGCTGCTAATTCAGACAAGGGTAATGGACACATTTGTGTAGCCCAGAAAAACATGACCTTGCTTGCTTGGTAATGATTTCTGTGCACCAGTAGATGATACCTAGGCAGGGCCTCTAGAAAAGTGCATTATTTTTCACCTAAATAGATTTTAAAGTATTTGTCCAGGAGAAGGAGATTGCCTTGCAGTACTGGAGAACAGAGCACAGGCTAAAAGGGCGAGCTTCCCCACAGGGAAAAAATGAGACAAGACACATCCTGCTGCTGTGTGCAGGCCAAGCTTTGGAAGGGCTTCATCCCTCCATGGAGTTTTATGCAGCCATATTCAGGGGCTCCCTGGCTGCCAGCTGCAAAGTACTTGTGTGGCAACAGCAGGGAAGGGTGGGAGAGACAGGGACAGCTTTGTCGACGTGGCAGCTGAACCCCCGTGGTGCTGTCTTCAAATCCCAATGCTTGGAGCTAAATGTATCTTCCTGCTGATACTTTTCTAGGTAGTGTTAATTTTTTCTTTTTTTATAAAAATGTTGCATAACAAGTTAAAAAAAAAAAAAAGCTCCTTCAATTTTAAATATTTACATTGAAGGAGAGAACATAGGACCTCTTGGCCTATTAAGAAATCGGCCTCTGTTGCCAGTACTAACAAGGCATTGCTGTGTTCTGAAATGTAGGTGTTCCCTGTTACACACCCCTTCAGACCAACTGCCAGCCACAACTAGAGCTGAGCTCAGCAAATAGCTCTATAACACACATCCACTTCCTTGAACCACCTAGACAAAGCCCTTGAGCCCCAAGCATTACTTCTCTTTAAAAAGAGACAAAGCAAAAAGAATAGATAGGTGGAGGTTTGGAATCTGCCTTTGAGCTTTTCCTGTGGGAGCTGCATGGACAAAATCTCACTTCTGAAACCTCATCTGCACAGAAGCTGTTATTTTCTCATTACAGACATCAGCTGGAGATGTTTGCCTCTTTCAATAGCAGGAAAGAATTTTTCATTTCCTTGGGGTTGTCATGTGAATTGAATGTACAGAGGATTCAGGGTATGGCGATATTAATTATGTCCAATTATAACCTGACTCGCCTTCCTTGGCATTAAATAACCCAACCAAACGAGCTCTGTCCCAGTGGCTTGGCAGTTGTTCCCCTGCCCATGTCCACGTGACAGGGGAGCTTTGCTTTGACTTAATAGCCAAATGGCTGAGAATGCAGGAGCAGATCCTGTGACAGAATTCCTCTGCCTGCATGTGTGCAAGGGCGACGCCATAATTAAAGGAGCACGGTCAAGGCACAGGTATTTTAAAGAGCCCTAATACGTGACACCCTCTTGCTAACACCTTATTAAAACAATAATAGAATTTTAGAAATGTAATTGCCCTTTTTTTGCTTAATGATGCTAAAAATAGCTCAGTCGTTTTAATTTCCTGATCTCTGGCTGACAGTATGATTTTGCTTCCAGCAAGGCAGGGGAATAATTGAAGGGAAAAAAAAAGAAACAAAGGTGTTTTTTTGTAAGTAAATTCCTTTTAAAATAGGAGTGACGAAAATAAGGCTGCCCATAATAGCTCTCATAAATCTTGCTCTTCTCTTTCCCCTTTCCCTGCAGAAAATAAAACAACTTCAAAAGTTATTGTTTGTTTGGTTTTTTTTTTCTGTAATCAGTGGGAAAATGAGCAAGGCTAGCTGCTGTGGCTGGGTAGAAACATTAATGGATTTCTAAACAAATGGTGTTGCCTGGGCTCAAAAGAAATGCTCTTCTGTGGCAAAGGCAGTACCTGAGGTAAAGCGTTCCTGAATGAGAGAGGAGGACAAACCAAACCCAGAAGAAGGCTGAAGACTATTGTGGAAATAGGGCAAGAGATGAACTTTGTATTTTTGCACTTTGGGGATGGTTGCCAGGCCAGCTACCCCTGCTGCACAGGGACTGTGGTAATGCCTGTGTCACCCTGTGCTTGTGTCAGCACCGAGGAGGATGCAGGACACGTGGCTGGGAGAGCCTGGAAACACCATTTGCCGTGTCCCTTCCACTAGTTTGGGGTGTTACTTGGGTCAAAAGTTGCTTTAAGTGTGGACAGCAAACAGCCTTTGCAAGTGGTGAAAGGTGGCGTGACCTTGGACTGTAACACACACGGCCTGGGGATGCCTGTAGGCATTTTCTTTATTTTCCTGGAACTAGCAATGAGTCTGCTTTGAAATAAAGGGTGCGGGTCCGTTTGTGTGCTGGTTGAGAGTGCCTTCAGCTTGCCAGGGGGTGGTGCAACTCAGCCTGTGGTGGTCGAGGTGCCGCCATCGGCCCGTGGCCCCAGGGATGGCTGTCACCGTGGTTGTCCTTCCCCAGGGCAGCCTGCGTCCCCGAGCCCTGCCCGAGCCCGCGAAGGCCCCGCAGTGCGGGGGGAGCAGCCGGGACGGGGGCAGGCCGCGGCCGCCCCGGTGACTACATCTCCCAGCAGCGCCCGGCGCGCACACCCCCTTCATCTCACTGGCCGAGGCAGCGCTCCAATCCGAAGGCGCCGCCGGGCAGGCCAGCCAATGGGAAGGCTGTTGCTAACACGCCGCAGTTATTTTTAGCACGGCCGGCGCTCGCGCACCTTGCGGGTCTCTCGTCTCCGCCGCGGTGGGGCCGGCCCTGCTCTGTTGGAGGCGGAGGGACACAGGCGTGCGAAGACAAAAAAGTTCGGGAGGCGGGAGCGCGTGTCGGGGGCGGGCTCTCCGTGCCCGTCTCGGGGCCGCGGAGGTGGCCGTGCCGCTCCTGTTCCTCCCGCGGTGACACCAGCCCGCCCGGTTTGGCCTTGCCCCGTTGTTCCCCAGGGGGATGCGCTCGCAGCCCCTCGGGCTCCCCGCCCTCATCGGGCACCGGGGATCCCGAGGGGTTTGCGACGATGGAGGGAGCCGGGATTGCTTTGGGCACGTCTCCCCGAGCTCCTCCACTGTAGCGGGGCGGGGGGGCTCCACCACGGGGGTCTTCGCAGACGTGCTTGGGGTGTGCAGAGAATTATCCCTTCGGGAGTCCCGGGCTGGCCTTGCCGCTGAGCTGGGGCTTGACCGTACCCAGGGTGCGCGGGGGCGAGGACCAGCCCGGCCAGTCCCGTCTCTCCCGGCTCCGTTCGATTCCACTCCCATCCCCCCGTCGCCTCAAGCTAAGCCGCTTGGGGAAATTCTCAGGTCAATCCCCGCTAAGGCCGCGGCCCCTTCCCTCTTTCCCTTGAGCTCGGATCCGGGATACTCCCGGTGCCGGGGGTGGGGGCAGCAGAGGGGGCTCCACCGTCACGCCTTCCCCCCCCCCCCCCCGTCCATCCTAGGGCGCTGCGGACGGCGACGGGAGGGGGAAGTAGTCCCGGCCCGCCCCCCGCGGCCGCATCACGCGGGGCGGGAGCGGATCCGTGCGCCGAGAGGTTGCTAAGGGTGAAAGTTTGCCGTGAGTTGGCTCACTCGGGGCCAGGGCGCGGGCGGCTCTGGGGGTACAGCAGCGGCATCCACACCACAGCACCGGGCCCGCCCCACGCCTTCGGGGACAAGGGAGGGAGGGGACGGACGAGACGGGGCAAAGCAGAGACGAGACCTGCCGGCAGCGCCCTCGGCCCCCGCGACAGCCGCCAGCAGCCGCCGGCCCTGGATCCGACAACGAAGTAAGTGGGGCCGGGGCTGCTTTCCTCCCCCACACCCCCTCTTAGGCTGGGACCCCTCCAGCGCGCGTCCTCTTTGTGAGCTCGGCCTGAGGGGGCCCATCGTCCCCCTCCCCACCAGGTACAGCGATTTACCCGTCCGTGGGGTCACTGTGCGGCTATGGTCCCCGGGGGGATTAATGGTGCTTCAAGGGAGAAGAATGGAGGTGAAAGTCACTGGGTCGGGGACGCTTTGCAGTGCCCCAGTTCACCATTTTGTTCTCCACAGCCTAGTTTGAGGGGCGGGGGGGTGGGGGGAAGGGGGGAGCGGGGGGGCGGGATGCGGCTCAGCCCCAGCCCTAAGCAGCCCCAAAAAAGGCAGGCTGGGCGCGAGGGCGGTGGTGGGCGCCCTGGGCTCCCGGGAAAGGGGGATGTCGCCGGGGTGTTCCCTTTCGTGCACGACGAGGTCCGAGGGGGAGAAGCCCGGCGACAACAAAGGCGCTGTCGGGGCTGGGCTGGGCTGCCCCCCCCCATTTCTCCCGGGCACCCCAATCTGCGATGCCCCGCTGGGTGCGCGGTGCTAGGAGCTCGCTCTTGATGACATATCCCCATCCATCCGACCCGCTCTGTTGGGAACCTTGTTTGCGACCTCGCGTGCCCCACTGGGGCGAAGGGGACAAGCAGCGGGGGGCGGGGGAGAGGGACAGAAGGTTACTGGGCTTCTGGCCTCCCGGACTCCGTCCCGCAGCCGTGGGGTGGGAACAGCTGCGGGGTGGGGACGCGCCCGCCCATCCCTGCCGAGAGAGAGGGAGAAGGGAAGGGGAGAAGGGGGCGGCTGCCCGGCGGTCCCGGGCCGCGGGGCGTGTTCCCGGCCGTGGGCAGCGCCGCGAAGGGCGGGCGGGCCCCAGCGCGCATGTGCTCTGGAAAATTTTGTGCCCTGCCCCGCCGGGGGACGCACCGGGCCGGGCGCGGGGCGCGCCGGGAGCCGCAGTCCGGGGAGAAGTAGGTCGCGGGCGGGGAGGGGGGGCCAGGACTACAGCTCCCGGCGTGCCGGGGCCGGCCGGCACCGGGGATGGCCGCGCTACCGGGGACGGAGGGGCGGCGGGGCTCGTCCCCGCGGGGCCGTTCGGCTGGCGGGGGGAAGCCTCTCCGCCGCCCTTGGCGGGGTGCTGGGAAGGGCGCTCTCGTTCCAGACGGGTGTGTCCGGCTGTGGGACCGCAGGCCGCCGTCACAGCCGTCTCTTTAAGTCCCGAGGCGGCGGCCAGCCTGTTGGCAGGGCCGGGCCTCGTTCGGGAGGTCGAAAGGGGATGGCCCGCAAGGTCACCCACCGTGTTGATGTATACGGGAGGAGAGGGAATCGTTCCCGTGCTCGCTCTTCTCTGTTGTAAGTGGTGGTCTGGCCTCTCCCCTTCAGCATACCGATAAACCGGGAGTCTGAGGGCCTCTTGCCTTCCCTCGCAGAGCCGAGAAACAGCTCTTTGTTCCCTGCCAGCACCTCGATGTACAGTAAGCCTTTAGTTTGAAAATGCTGGCCTTTATAGAAGACTTCTCAGAATATCGCTTACAATTGATACTCGGTAGTTTCTTCTCTCAGAGCCACGCTGCTTCAGCTGGATTTCAGTGGATTTGGGGGTTCTTAAATTTTTAAAAAATTATTTTATCACATTTCAGTGCAGTAGATTGAGGGGATCCTCCTGGAGCTCATCTTGCCATGTCAACAACCTGAGAAGCCAGTGACTTTTTTGTGCCTTCGGCAGGTATCAGTTGTATGCCTCTACCTTGACAGCTGTTGGTGTTATTAGGTTAATTAACTTAGCTTTTTCATAACCAAGGTACAGAGTATTCTCTTTTTAGGAAAACTGGAGAAAAGACAAAAGGAGATTGTGTATAATTGTACTTCCTCACAGCTTTCTGCAGAAAAGTTGATGAGGAACTGGGGTCCTCAGTGTATATTGAGACATTTGTATAGCAGATAGGATGTTAACAAATTTTGCCCACTGTTCCTTTCCCAGTCTTATCTGATCTCTTAATAGATTTTGGATCTGAATTAGAATTTATCACAAGATAAAAGACTTACCAACGGGCTGTTCTCTTCCTGCTTAACTTGCTGGGATCCCAAGGTGTCCTCTCTTTTGTACGTCTCAAAGCCAAAGAAGTTAACAGAGCTCCCTGTAATCCCCCCTTGAGGTACTATGGTCTATACAAGCTCTTGTTCGGGTTTAGGTGTGCTCTTTAGGGGTTTGCTTCATACTTAATTTTTGTAGAAAAGGCTCTGTCATTGTGCCAAGACTTTTGTCTTCTGAAAAAGGCTTTTTAACTGTTCTTAGAAAAACCATTGTTGCTTATTTCTTTGGTGTTCTTACTTGGATATGGACAGATTGCAGTGACCTACCAAAGTTTGTTACATTACAGTAATTCCTTAAAGCTGGTTTTAAAGACAAGACTTCTTTTCCACTCCCTTGTTCCTGTGTGTTTTTATGTTGCTGAGTCAAACCCAAAGGGGGTTCCTTCCAGAATTGGCCTCCCTGTTGGCAGATCAGAGGGGTGGGATCTGTTTCTAGTTACCATCTTCCTAAAGCTAAGCCTCTGTGAACCTGGAGTAGTACAGAAAAAGCAGAGTATCTGCATCCCTCTTTTACAGTAAAGCTTTAAAATATTTGAGGGCTTATTCAAAGTTATTTGATCCTTCCTGTCTACTAAACTAGACCAAGCAAACAAGTCTGGTCAGTTTTTTAACTCCTGCTGACTTAGGCCAGCGTGGATATCTGGTTGTGCTGCTGGGATTTTTCAGGGGAATGCTAACTATGTGTGTTTGTACTTTATCCCCACCCCCAAATAATTGTCACACATCATAAACATTGGCCTGAGTGCTGTACAAGAATATCCCTAAAGCCCATTTTAGGAAGACAGTTTGTCTCTTTGAGCAAGGTGAGGGCAGCTGAAGACAGAGCAGCCTCTGACTAAGCCACCAATTAAAAACTGGATATTCTTCTTTCCCCTGGAGAGGTGTGGAGGCTACTGGAAGTGTGCTTGCTCTTAAAATATCTGTGAGATTCATCTTCCGTGGATGAGTGACAGAGAGTAGTGCTGACATACCTGGTTTTGGGTTTTTTGTACCCAGACAAACATTGTTTGCAAATCTGTGTATAATGGGAGACTTGAGTGTTGTGGCTTTGCATTGTGCTTTTGTGGGTTCTCTCCATTTCGGAGATCTCCTCACAAGGCAGAGAGAGAGAGAGAGGAGGGAGGATTACTTCAATCTTTGGCAAGCAATTTCAGTTTTTATTAAGCAGGTATCTGATCCTGGCAGAGCTTATCTTCCCTCTGTGCAGGGATAAGCGAGGTGAGCTGTATTGGTCAGCTGTTGGTATGTTTGTATTTTGTGACCTTATATACATTTACTGTCCCACTCTCCCCACCCAGCAGGCTTGAACTGAGATTTTATGCTTGTAGCTAGGCAGAGTCTCAACTGGGTACACTTAATAAGATATGTGCCTGCTAGTCAAGGGGATGGTGAACACGGGCTGGCAGCTGGTGCCCCGGCACCCTCCCTTGCTCCTTCTCGTCCCTTCTGCGCTTCTGCCAGCAGGACGTGGCGCCCGGCACAGCCACCCGGCCTCCCGGAGGAGAGGCCAGCCCTGCTGTCCTGAGCACAAGCAGGTCTGCACAGAGCTGCTGAGCGAGTCACGAGGCTGTTCAGGTGCTGCGCTTGTGCTCTGGAGAGGCAGCTGCAGGTGAGCCGTGCTGGAAGCAGCTGAGTGCCGGGGCAGGCGAGGCGTGTTAGGTGTGTGCCAGAGCTCTGCCACAGCAGACAGTGGCCTGCTGAGTTACAGCAGCAGCGCTTGGCAGCAGGGTGAGCGTGATGGACGTACTTGCATGTGAGTAGTGGCTACGCCCTTATTTCTTCTGAGAGGAGCAGGGAGAGTTCTCCTTATCAACATCCCTCTGTTTTGAGGATCAGTAGATTTGTGGTGCCTCTCCTAGAGAGCCTTACTTCTTCTTAGTATTTGTGCAAACGGCTCATTCTGCTTTGTTCGTGAAAAGGCACAGTTATTTATCTCAACAGGAGGAGAGTTGTTGTGTTCTCTAGTCTTCATCCATCCTTTTCTCTCTTTCCCTAGGTCTCTTTGGAGTCAAAACTTGTCTATGTTTCTGTCATTTTGTCACTTTTAATACACTGCCCTGACTTGCTTGCTGGGAAGAGAGTATGCATCTGGAGATCAAAGTTGCTCTTAACTTCATCATCTCATACCTGTACAACAAGCTTCCTCGGAGGCGGGCAGACCTGTTTGGTGAGGAGCTAGAGCGCCTGCTGAAGAAGAAATATGAGGGTCACTGGTACCCAGAGAAACCTCTGAAGGGATCTGGCTATCGCTGTGTTCACATAGGGGAGACGGTGGATCCGGTGGTGGAGCTGGCGGCCAAGCGGAGCGGGCTGGCTGTGGAGGATGTGCGTGCCAATGTGCCAGAAGAGCTGAGTGTCTGGATTGATCCTTTTGAGGTTTCCTACCAGATCGGTGAGAAGGGCTCTGTTAAGGTTCTCTATCTAGATGACAGTGAGGGCTGCAGTGCCACAGAGCTGGACAAAGAAATCAAGAGCAGCTTCAACCCCGACGCCCAGGTATTTGTCCCTATCGGCAGCCAGGACAACTCGCTGTCCAACTCTCCGTCCCCCTCCTTTGGCCAGTCACCCAGCCCCACCTTCATCCCTCGCTCTGCACAGCCCATCACTTTCACCACTGCCACCTTTGCTGCCACCAAGTTCGGCTCGACCAAGATGAAGAAGGGCGGAGGAGCCGGAGGAGGGGGCGGCGGAGCAGGGGCTGTGCAGCAGCCGAGAATGGTCAGGTCTCCCACCACCAACCTGCTGAAGCACAAGGGCCTCTCCCTGTCCATGCACTCTCTGAACTTCGTCGGGAGCGCTGGGAGCCAAGCCCCGCAGTCCCAGCTCTCCCCCAATGCCAAGGAGTTCGTTTACAGCGGCGCCTCGCCGGGAGCCAGCAGCCTCTTCTTCGATGGTGTTGCCAGTGAGAGCCAGGCCAGCAGCATCCCGCCAGCATCACAGTTCAGCGCCAGCACGGGTGGTACCTTCGATATGGCTCAGGTCTTCGGTGGCAGCACCAATAGCCTCTTTTTGGAGAAGTCTCCCTTCGTGGAAGGACTCAGCTACAACCTGAATGCCATGCAGTATCCTAGCCAGTCGTTCCAGCCCGTCGTCCTGGCCAACTGAATACAACGGAAGGAGAGTATTTTGGGGCAGGGAGGGAGGGGGGAAACAAGAACAAAACAAACAAACAAGAGGGAGAGAAAAGAAAAATAGAAATATACAGAAAATATTAAAACCTTACAAATATAGGTTCTTGGGAAAAGAGAGAGCTCAGTGTTGTTGCGCTGTGCTGGTAACGCTCCTGAAGCACTGAATTGTTTTTTAACTCAGTACCTGTGCTTTTTTCCTACTCACTTTTTTACTCCTTAAAATGAGTCTTGGGCTTTTTTTTTGTTTGTGTGCCCTCTTCCCCCACCCCAGCCCAGGACTGGTGCAACTGTAGGTCACAATGCTCCTGATTTCCTGCACCACCCCCTGCCCCACACTGGACACAGGGTCCTTCTACCTGGGTGTAGGGATGTCATCTTCATACTACCGTGCTGGAGGAGGGACAAGAAGAGGATGAGTCAGTGTTGGTGGGGACAGACGCAGTCTTGTTGTGTGCTAGCCAGAATGGGTGGGTGAGCTTGCTTTTTCTGTGTACACAGAGAACATCGCCTGTGCCCACGGGCGCAGACCATTGTGCTGTTGTGGCTCCAGCCCAAGCTGGCATCAGCTTTTCTGTGTGCTGAAAAACACTAACTCGTCTCCTTGACCATCTTGCAGCACATCACAGTCAGGGCAGAGCATTACTGTGAAATGGCTTCTTCCTGCTCCCTTCCTCATCTGCACTTCCAGTTGTGGCTGCAGGGGCACAGTGGCTTAGTGGCTCTGGTTATTGGACCTTTCTGTACCTGAGCAAGAGGGCTTTTTGATGCTCTCTCAGAGCTGCCCAGTCGGTCTGGATGACAGCCCCTGTGGTGTAGAATCACCACCTGCCTCTCTTTGTGACTTGTGGGAGGTGGCACTGAACCAGCTGGACCCCACTTGGATCCTTCCCCCATGTCCCAGATGTTCTCCCCAGCAGCAGGGGCCAGCATCCGCTTGTGATGGCCTCTGAGGTCAGAGTTCTCATTATCTGCTGTGAATTAATCTTCTTGTCTCAGAGAGGAAATTCCTTCCTTTTTAGTTAGTGAGGCAGCACAACTTTTCAAGAAGATAGGGTGATGTTGAAGCTGCTGTCTTGAGTGGTAGCATAAGGGTTTATGCTTCCAGCCAGGTATGCACCTGACTAAATCCCTTCCCTTGCCTTTCTGGAGAAGCATGAGGAG